CCACGCCCCCTCTCTTTCTGCCACGCCCCCTCTCTTTCTGCCACGCCCCCTCTCTTTCTGCCACGCCCCCTCTCTGTGTATGTCCAGACCCAGGAGAATGTGGTGAGTAGGGATTCCCCCCACCCCATGGCTCTCTGTCTATATATAAAGAGTGGAAACATGAACCAGCGGCTAAGGAGGAGGACAAATGAATAGCATGAGTATGTAGGGAGAAAACCAGAAAGGCTAAGGCACAAAATGAGCTACATTTAGCAAGCAACATAAAAGGCAATAAGAAGAGGTTGTATGATTATTTCAGGAGCAAGAGAAAGGTGAAGGAAAGTGGAGGCCCTCTCCTTAGCTGGGAAGGAGAACTAATACCAGGTGACCTCAGGAAGGCGGAGGCATTTATGCCTCTTCTGCTTCAGTGGCCTCTGAAAAATTAATTTGTGACCAGATACGTAACACAATTAATGGTAACAACAAAAGGGAAGAAGTGCAAGCCAAAAATAGGGGAAAAAACAGGTTAAATAAGATGGATCTATTCGAGTCGTCAGATGACATTCACCTGAGGGTACTTAAGTTGCTAGCTGAAGCAAAAATCTCAGAACTGTTGACAATTATCTTTGAGAACTCCTGGAGCACGTCAAAGGCTTTGTGAAAGTCCAAGTACACTATATCCACCCAATCAGTCTTGTCCACATGCGTGTTGACCCCTTCAAAAAATTCTAATAGATTGGTGAGGCGTGATTTCCCTTTGCAAAAGCTGTGTTGACTTTTCCCCAACATATCGTGTTCATCTATGTGTCTGATAATTCTGTTCTTTACTATAGTGTCAACCAATTTGTCTTAACTGGCCTGTAATTGCCTCTGCAACCTTCTTAAAAACTCGGTGTCACGTTAGCTCTCTGCCAGTTGTCTGGTTCAGAAGCTGAACTAAGCGATAGGTTCCCTACCATAGTTAGTAGTTCTGCAATTTCATATTTCAGTCCCTTCAAAACTCTTGGTCCTGGTGACTTATTACTGTTTAATGTATCAGTTTGTTCTGAAACCAAATCTATCAACACCTCAATCTGGGACCCCGCCTGTCTCTATGCCCCGCCCCTACATGTGATGGACACCCTCCCTCCCACCCGGATGGGCCGACATGACCCTTTTTCTTGTGCCGTTGCAGGACATAGCCACAGTTTACCAGATCTTCCCAGACGAGGTTCTGGGCTCAGGGCAGTTTGGAGTTGTCTATGGAGGTGGGTTCAGGGGAAGGATGGGATGCAGGGCCTGCCATTGAGTACCTCTGGGGTGGGGTGCGGTGGGTGTTTGTACAGGGATTGCTCACCCAGCAGTGCACTGAGATGCAGCTGCCTCTGGGGTGGAGC